AATGATAAATGTAAATGTATTGTATACCTAAAATGTACCAATAAAGATATAAATTAAAAAAATAATAAAATGTTTATTTTAAAAATATAAAATATTTATTATAGTTCAAGTATTGTGTTTTTATTATGTCATAAATGATGCAGAAGAGTGTCAAGAAAAGCCACAAAAACAATGGAAAATATGGAGAAATAAGTAAGTAGAATTATTTTGAAAAAACAATGATAATACAAATTCATGATCTTATTTAAATATCTTTGTATAACAACATAGCAAATAGATGTTTTCTTCCTTTATTTGAGATCATAATGAGAAAAATACAAACTGTGATTTGAGGGCTTCTGTCCTTGATATTTAAGAGTGATGGAAGGAAATTTTTCTTCCATTCTTAAAGGAGGTGAAAAAAGGATTATTTTTAAAAACAGTAAGATTTACTGCATAGAGGCAAATCTCTTCTGATCCTGTAATTGACTCAAATATTTTCCAAATGTAGTCTTGTAATTTGTCTCAGAAATATTCAAAAACACATGTAGAAAAAGAAAGAATACAGAGTTCTCCAGTTAAAATAAAAAAGAAACACATACAGAAAGTTTTGGGGGGGCTGAGGATGTAGCTTAATGTTAAAAGTGCTTACCTAGCGTGCTCAAGGCCCTGAGTTTCATCTCCAACACTGAAAAATTAAAGATTTAATGGGCTGGGGATTTAGCTCAGTGGTTCTGGTGCCTGCCTTGCGAGTGCAAGGTCCTGAGTTCGATCCCCGGTACCAAAAAAAAAAAAAAGAAAGAAAAACTAAAGATTTAAGCATAAAGATATCTAAAATATCCAATTATGTATGTTTAAAAACTAGAAATTTCTTATGTAGTTATTCAAATGACATTTAAGGACTCAAACAAAAGAGGAAATAACTTATGTCAAAAATAATAGGTGAAAATTAAAGGGTAAAAATCTGAACCAGGAGGATTGCAAGTTCAAGCTTATCCTGGGCAACTTAGTGACACCCACCCTGTCTCAAAACAAACAAAAATAATAATACAAACAACTGGGGTATAGCTCAGTGTGAAGGTCCTAGGCACAATTCCCAGTACAAAAAAAAAAAAAAGATAAACTACATATCCTGTTAAGTATAGGAATAGTGCATAGAAAAAAGACTAGAAGATTTACCAAAATATTAACTGTGATTGGTTTAGAATGATCTTTTCCTGTATTTTAATTTTCTACAACTATGAACTGTTTGAATAATGAAGGAAATAGAAAAATAATCAATGGTCTAGTATAAACTGCTTACCTTACAAGTTGTTCAAATCCGTTGAAACAGAGTGTGAAAAAGTGTGTTGTAAACTATAAACTGAAATAGTAAGGTAAATTATTGCTATTATCAATAACTGAAAGATAACATAATTCATATTTTGAACTCTCACTTGGAGAGCTCTTTTAGTCAATTTTATGCAATTTATTTTTGTCAATACAAATGGGTTTCCAAAACACTTGGAAAATTTCCATGAAGATAATAAATTGTGTTATCTGCTTTGTTATTGTTTTGAACTGTTCAATGATGATAATAAACAAAACCTTTTAAACTGGTCTTACTTCTTCCTATCTTAAACCCAGGCAACACCAGCATCTCCCTCTAAAGAGAGAAATGAAAAATGACAAAGAAAAAGGAAAAGAAAAATGGAAATTTAAAAGTTTAACATATGCTTACAGCAACTTTCTCTATCAAATGAGTCTGTTAAATGATAGGCAAAAAAAATACTATACCAAAATTTACATGAACAAATGTATACCTATTAAGCAACACATTAACTGCAAGTGATTTCATATGTAAATTACCTATAATTTGAATGCAATTTTCTAAATTTTTTTAATGTGAGTAGTTCCAAAAGTTCTTTGGTGTTTAATAACATGTGGTATTATTAAGACAGTTGTTAAATTGCAGATGTTTTGTTCAGTGCCTGACCCTTTCAACATACTGCTTAGGAGAATGTTGTTACTTAGAATTGAAGCTAACTCTCTTGACTTGTCTAGTGTCCTTCTTCAGCATCAATTATAAGTCTGATGCTCTGATAAGCTATGGAAATTCAGCCATTAACAAGTCAGATATAGATCCGCCCTTGGGTTGTAGAGTAGATCACACTAGTATTTGAGCATCTGGATGGGCTCAATCTTGTCCTTGGAATTTTAAGGTTCCTGTATTAGTTTTTTATCACTATAAGAAAATACCTGACACAGGATACACATAAAAAAGGTTTATTTAACTCACAGTTCTGGAGGTTTACAGGCATGGTATTGGCACCAGCTCAATTCCACTGAGGGCTCTCTCTCTTGGCTATGTCACATTGTGGCAGAGATGCATGTATATGTAAGAGATTACATGACCAAACAGGAAGTCAAAGAGAGAGAACCTGGGGTCCCACATTCTCTCCAAGATCAACATTCCCAGTGATCTGAAGGCCTACCACTAAGGCCACTAACCTTACCCTGGGCACCAAGCCTCCTATCTAAATGGACCCCTAGGGGACACTCAAACCCCACCCAAACCACGGTAGTTCCCAAAGGAAAAAAATAGTTCATCTGTTTGAAGTGCTTTTCTTACTCTCTTGAATGTTACTTTCCGGATGACTATCTAAGAACTGATTTTGCTTACCTTCTTAGCTTTCCAGGACAGAGGAATTGAGAACAACCAGTAAGTAGGCTTCTTTCCATCTTAAACTAGGAATCCATCTCAATTAGGGATAATCCAACTATCAGATAAATTGTTTAAAATAAAAGATACAAATGCTGCCACAAAGAGTTTTAGAATTGTGCTGTACAATCATATCTTTTTAAGATGCCATTTTGCCATAAATTCTTATCAATTCACATAAGCAGATATATGGAGTATGTAAATTCTGGCTAGATGACAAGTAGCATAAACAAATGATAGCTACATTGGTGGAGGCTATTCTTTAATTTGTGCACATTTAATGTCCTCTGAAAGGGTCTCATTCAAAAAAAAGAATTTATGTGGTTTATAGCATGAAATTCCCAAATTCTAATGTTAGAAAGTATATATTACTTTTTTACTTTAATGTTAATTTTTTGATATCTTGCATTTTGATATCTTAACATTTCTATAATTTTATAAAAATTTTAGGAGTTTGTCAAAAAGAAGACACCTCTGTGGACATGATACAAATAAAGCAGTTCTAAAACAGGTTTATTGAAGATATAATCTTTTCAGAAGTCATGTCAGAGTGTGATTTTAGAATAGAACAGTTTAGAATAATTCATATTTTACTGATTAAGAGTATGAAACAAATATCATGTAATACCAAGTTATTTGGAGGAGAGTCAACTTGTCTTTAGTAAAATGTGAAATTCCACTTTATATCTGTCAAACCCCTGTCCTTCCTCCAAGTCAGTTCTCACTTTCAATCACCACCTTACCTCTATGTGTTTCCCCTTATTCTTTTTCTGTGCTACAGTGAGTTTTGTTAAAACAATATTCTTGAAAAATTCATACCACTGTATGTACCCCTGCCCTACTACAAAATCAGTCTATCCTACTCCAACTGGGTTCTCATTGCTGCTTGACAATCTTGATATTGATCTCCCATTTATTTCCTAGCATACTTCCTTTAGCAGGTGCTTCAGATCTGTCTCTGTTCACACATCTAATTCACTACTTGCCTTTTCCATTCTCACCAGATAATAACTGTCTTGCTTTACTGAGAAACTCACGGATAGCCAGTCTGTGCTTTCTCATTCTCCCTTATCTCTATGACAAAGCAGTAAACTTTTTTGATTATCAGTCATGAAACAGGCACTATGCTAGCCAATGGTATGCCAAAAGTGGTACAGTGGATTGATCTTTGTACCCATTAAACCCAACATAGTTCCTTATACATAGTAGGTACTCAATAAATGTTAAAGTGAATGTGCGATGCTTATATATGCAAGGTTCTGAGTTCAGTTCCCCAGACTGAAACACAAAAGGTATGTATTAATGAAAAGGTAGGTCTAGAGCATGAGATGCTTCAAGTAGAGGAGAGGGAAAGTAAGACAGATATTGCATGATAGATATTGTGACCAGCTCAGATGTTCTTTCCTACATGCATATATGAGGTATGATAAAAAGATAGAATGTTTTTAAATTTAAAAACATTATTACAATAAAAGACACATTGCCATTAATCTCCCTCCTAATATTCCCCCTCACTCTAAACATACTTATTCCATCATTATTGGCACTTTCTGAAGCAATTCTGGAAGTTTTTTTTTTTCCTTCTAATAAACCTTGATATACCTTTCATGGTCATTTGACTTTGGGGAGGAGCCAGAAGTCACATGGTGCTAGATCCAGTGAATAAAGTGGATTAGGACACACTATAATGTTTTCACCATTTTTAGCAAAACATTAGAAATGTTGATGGTGATATTGCCTCCATTCCCTCTTTCTACTATGAGAGGAAATTAATTTCTTGATTATATGTATTACTAAAGACTCAATTTCTCAAATGAAATGTCAAAGGAATTATAAGGGATCTCTGAATGACTAGTTTTCTAACCAATTCCAAGACAGGTTACTTAAGCCTACAAACGAGTATTTCTGGTTTGCTTCCTGATTGTTCTGATATTGTTCATTTTGTTGTGTTTTTCAGCTGGTACTAGTATAACTATTTTCTCTGAAATAGTTTCCCCATTTCAACTAAGAGTGAAGAGATTTTTGGATAAAGAACTTGTAATAATCAGGTATAATATGAAGTCATAGATCTTGGAATTTGCTAAACAGAAGTGTTGCATCTAAGTGCAATGTAAGTGCAACATCTCAGCCATTTAAAATTATTATCATAAAGTAATCATCATAATTTTTAAAAACTCTAATTGAATCATTATTCCTTCCAAAAGATTGGAATTGTAAGAATACTTCTCAGAAGCTCTCAAACTTAATATGGAGCAGAAAATATTGCAATGAGTTCTCAAGTGTGAGACATAAAAAAAAGTTGTACCATTCTTTCATTGTGTTTTTAATCACTTCATCATTCATAGCTGCATATATAGTACTTACCCATTGAAGAATGTAGTCATAGGGGAATGTATCTGTCAGCATACTGACGTATAAAAAAGAATAAAAGTAAAATCAGTGAGAATACACTGTAGATTATTGTATTTCATATTTGAAACTTTATATATATGTTTTGTGAAGCAAACACAAGAAAACAAAGTATATTTATATTAGAACTAGGTAAAAGGAACTTTATCAATAGATCGATAAAACCAGATCTATGGTTTCTCACCTGGCGATCTGGATATATCAACAGCAAAATATATGTATAAATTTGCAACTATACCTATGAGGGTACACATGATATTTTAATATTCAACCTGCAATATTATATATAGAAGTTATGGAAATACATCAATAGACTTTTGGGTGGTGAAGATTTTAGTGGAGTCTATGATCAGTATAAAAATTTAAATTAATGTGTAGACAGCCGTGGTGGTGCACACTTGCATCTGTAGCACTCAGGAGGCTGGGGCAGTGATATCAAGACTGGCTACACAGTGACACCCTGTCTTAAAAATATGTATATAATAATAATAATTATGTAAAGTTTGAAGGAACAATGAATGCCAAAAGGAGGAAAAAATGAATTTGTGAACAACTCAGCAAGATGTTTGAAGGATCTATCAAACCTGAGTCTTTATGCACCAGTCTAAGAAACAAAATGCCTAATCTATTTCTAGATCATATTTTAAAATGCTTCAATTTAGCCAGTCATTTCTGTTTTCAGTTCTCTCGCATCTTGACACACTGAATCCCATCTTAACATTAGTAAGTTACTATGTCAGGGAGGATAGAATTTGCTACAGTAATAAAACTTAGTAACTTAAAACAAGACAAGACTGATTCTTTATCCTATGTCCATCATGAGTTAGTTGAAGACTTGCTTTACATTTTCCTCATTTAAGGACCCTAACTGAGAAGAGCGCTCTCTCTACCTACATTCTTCTGCAGTTATTGCAGAATGACAGATAGCACCCAAACTATTAAAGCTTTTCCTTAGGAGTGATTGTCATTTTTGATTACATTATTGTCTAATTCAAATTGCATGGCCATGCTAACTTCAAATGGGGTCAGAAGGGTAATCTCATGTATGTAGGAGAAAGGCCAGAAATATTTAGTACACTGATCATTTCCACAGCCTCCTAGAAAAGATTGACAACTCCTCTAACTTGTTCTTCATTCATACAATTGAATGGTGGTGATTTCTTTCCATTCTAGTTGTATAACTAGAAGAATATCAATGGGTAATAACTTTCTTCAAGGGCTAAAAGTGAGAGATCATTAAATGGAGGATCATATCAACTCTTTTACTATTCATCCATTTGTTTATGGGTATGGTCTTTCTTTTGCCTCCCACCCAAAAAGTCTATAATTTGGTGAAAAACATAGGTCTAGCCTCCATGAAACAATTATAATATGAAGCCAGCCATTACACCAATCAGGTAGATGGTAATAGACCACACAATGAATAAATAGTGACAGATGAAATTAAGTGAAAGATCAGTATTGAATGCAGTGGGGAAATATTTTTCAGATTTTATTGGAGAAGATATTAGATGGACATAAAATATTAGGCTTACATTGATAAAAAGAAGGAAAGAGGCTATTTCTAGTAATAAACACAGCAACTAAGAGCCCAGAAATGAGAATGGGTAAGGAAGAAGCCCAGATGAGATTTGCTCAGTTGGGGCAAAAGGTGAGAACATAGTCGAAGTGGCACATCAGTTCAGATCAACTCTTTTTATGAACCTGAACAAGGAAAGAAAAAGTTTAATTTTTAGAAAGTATTAGATGTGGTGGGCAACAATAAAAAACTAGATTCAACCAAATCCTGAATAAAAGAATGCTTTAAATTGTATACGTTTTATAGGATATGCCAATAGAAGAAATTTCCAAAAGGTCACGTTTTATCACACACACAAAAATCTTTAAGAAAGCTGAAGATAGAGTTCCTTTAGATTTCAAGAAAGTTCAATCTGGTTGGGTAGATAGACCACACCTTTGTGGTTATAGTAGTCTTTGAGTGAAATTTTTCAGTATAAATTTGGTCACTGATATAAACTTTCCAAAAAATAGTTAAAAACAAAACCATTTCAACTACATGAAAATGTTTGCTCATTCTACCTGGAAACAAGAGTTTGGTTTAACTTATAATGATAAAAAATATATACATGCATCATAAAATATAAGATGTACACATGCTACCCAATCAGCATGCTTTCAAATCACGAATAAATAAAATTTAGTTTGCATTGTTGATTAAATAAACATGAACTCTACTGTAGTTTTATAACAAAAGGATGGTCTTTAAAAGGAGACAAAGAGTCGGGTTCAGATTCAAGTTCTGCAACTAAATAGAAAAACAGAGGTTAAATCACTCTATATTCAAGAATCTCTATTTCCTATCTGTAAAATTTGATAATAATTGTGTCTGCTTCAGAGAGTTATTACGAGGACTAAATGATAAACATTTGTGAAGTACCCAGCATATAACAGGCATAGAAGCAGTGACAGCAATGATTATGTATAGGCAATTACTAAATACTAATCAAGTTTAAGAAAAAGGTTCTTATTTTTCTATTTATAAGCATTATAAAATTATTAAATCCTACTTTATTACCTATTTATTTACTAAGATCACCCTCATAATTTTATTTTTATTTTATTGAAGAAACAACTAAAAGGAAAAGTAAAGAAGCAAATAAAGTTCAAGTTAGAGAATACAGTGTTCTATTTCTAAAGTGTTTATGATCCTTTATTGGTTTTATTCCACGTACCAGATGTTCCCTGAGAGCAGAAAGTTTCAACAAAGACTACTTCCCAAAATTGTTTATGATGAGGATTACACTCTTGTTTTACAGATGAGTATGCTGTACAGAATAAGTATTATGTATTTTACAAAGATGGGTGAAAAGCAGTATTCTAACTCATGACACTGGTTAAAGTTACTGTTGATTTTGTTGTTCACCAGTAATTTTAATAGTAGCTTGTCCTTTAGATTAAAGGTTATGATTTTGAGTGTGTTTATCTTTAACTTGTACTCCCAGGACCATAGTTTAGCCAATCTAAGGTCCTTGAGGATTTTATCACTTCGCAAAATTGCATTTTTGGTTCTTTCCCCATATCAGCTGTACACCTTGAATGTAGATCTGACAGTATGGTAATAAGTGAAATGAAAACGAAGAAACAAAAATAGAAATGTTTACTTAACCCCAAATTAAATTTAAATTTAATTAAAATTAAATTTTAAATAGAAAATGTCCTAAGAACAGGCATAAACTACGACACATTTTAATACCGTGTGTGTGTGTGTGTCAGTATTGATATATAAGGGAATGGGGTGATTAACTTAATGGATTATTAAGGTCTTACACTTCCCTGACTAGGTAAGTGTCCACAGTGGAAAAAATGTTTAGTCTGAACACCAATTAAAAAATGAAAAGTGATAATAATTTCCCTCAAGTATTTTTTGATAGCTTCTCAAAAGATGGTCCATGGTTTCTGCTTTACTACTCCATCACGACTTTGGTTTTACCAATCACTGATTTTGAAATGGAGGGTGCATGCATGCACACATGTGCACACATATGTGTAGAAAAAATTTCATAAAGTGAGAAAATAATCTCTTTGTGCCTCAGGACTAGCTAATTTCAGCTTTAGTATGAATGGGCTTTTGGGCAAATCCATTTGTTAAGACACTGAGGAAAATATGACCTTTGTTATTATTTAGAACTGAAGCTATACCATACAAACAACAAATTCACTCCCTGGGGGAAAAACAGAAAAGGGAAAGAAAAAAGACCCACAGCTAAATTTACAGGTTTTGTGTTTTGCTGTTTTATGATTTTCTTAGTTGAAATTACAGTTTCCTTTTTCCACTTTTCTACACAGCCCAGAAGATGGACATTTGGCAAGCCATAATAGACTGCTCCTTTCCCAGGTATCTCCTGCTTCTTTCCTTTATCTGTGAATAGGAAATGGCTTAAAGGCACCTGTGTGATGAAGGTCCCAGGGGCAGCTGCCTGACTAGTGAATGCCTGATTATGTGTTAACATGCTTTGTCAGATATTGGCAGAATCTGTTCTCTTCTTTTGCCTTTTCAGCAAGGGTACCATTGACAGCCTGGCTACCCATTTATAGAAATGTTGTCCATCAAACTGTGAGGAAGGACAATAGTGTTTTTCTGTGGCCAGTGACTGTGGGAAACTTTTCTTTGGCTATTCAGGCAATTTTTGTAGCTTGCTCTGAAGAGGAGAGACTGATGAGTGCAAAAAGTACAATTAAGCAAAGCCAGACTTCAATTGAAGGCTGTAGTGTAGTCTGCTGTTCTCATTTTTTTTTAGAGGGGGAAAAAAACCCTATGGGTTTTCACGTTGCTGTGTGGCATTCAGCAGGGGGCTATTACAATCCTAAATTTTTTTTCTAGACCACCTAATTCTAAGTTAAAATTAAATGTAATGAGAGCCACTTGGAGTTCTGAATATTTTAAAGCATAATTCCCACAGAAGGGATTCGACCTAAACTGCAGTGAGCATCAGTTGGCTAATTATAGCTGCATTTTATATTACAGCAGGTGTCAGATGCAGTCATCTCAATAAAGTCCACATAATACTCTGGGAAATAACAAAGACTTTTCTTTGAATGTGGGTACTAATTTCTGCTAGGTGTCATATGAGCCTTGATACTTCTTATTGGCATTAACAAGAGCACTGCAGCACTCAGAAATGCTTTTTGCTTGGGATGAATTGATACTGTAAAGCACTTACCAGTCAGACTTGGCAGATGTCAGTAGTTAATACTAGTGTTGCAGAGGTTGGAATATAATGCAAAGAGTCTTATGTAAATACTCTTAGATGATGGGCTGGTTTTAAGAAGGCGCCTGAGCACTGCACCAACTCACTTAATGAAAGTTAAATAGATAGCAGTGGGGTATCTGCATTTACTTTGGCTCCTGCTTTATTGAAAGTCCTCCAGAAGTGAAGGGCAGATGGTAAAGCAGTAAACTAGGTGAACAAAATACCCTGGACTTGGATAAGGACTTGCTATATTCACTGGGCTTTCCTTGAACTTGTGTGGGTTATTCAAGTTACTGAAATGATAGCCAGTGCAAAAGTATGCCTAAACATAAGGACTCCTGTCTCATTAAAAAATAAATTTAACTTAGAAAATATTTCAGGAGTTGAAACACTACTGAACAATGGGCTAGACATAAAGGATGTCACTTTAAAATCATGATTGTCCTGCACTACTCCATTCTTCCAGGACAGTGACTGCTTATGCAATCTATTGTAGTCCCATTGGATCATAGCAGATGGGAAAAAGGGAAGAACTATTAAAAATCATGTTACAAAATTCCAACTAAGATACGACAAAGGAATTTTTTATACACATTCCACTCTTGGATCAACTATGGATTTTCATTTGTTTGGTTGTGTTTTTTTCTTTTTAAAATCTAGTTCATAGTTAGCAATGCAAAGGCAGTGTCCTTTTGATCCCCCCAAACAGCTTTGAATTCTTATTTTGGCAGATTACAATTTATATATATCTCATAACAGACCCTACAGGGTGCTGTCAGCAATTAGCGCTGACATGGAGGACTTTAACATTCATTCAGCATTGATTCAGTGACAGCACTGGTAGGCACAAAGCACTGTTAAGCCCAGAAGTGAAATCTAAGATGACAAAAGGGCACAGTGCCTGTCCCCAAAGTGCTGACTATCTAGTCACAAAAGAATTATCCCTGCTAGCCTTTTTGAAGATTTTTTTAGATAGGATATATTCACAGATTTTGATAAACTCAAGATTAAATTATAAAATATTGAAAAAAGTCACATAGAGATCACCACAAAGGAGCTCAGGTAATTGACAAATAGCAATTTTTCCTTATAGTACTCTCTCAGTGATATCTGTTTCAAATACCTAAATCCACAACTGTGAATAATTTTTATTTCTTTTTCTTACATAAATATTTGTTTTTTATGAAAAAGTTGAGGAACATAAAAAATACAAAAAGAAAAGAATCCATATTTCTACTACCTAAGTTCAGATATATCATGTTTATTCTTTATCCATTACTGCATATAAAATATATATGTACATTTTAAGTATAAGAATTATATACTATTTTTTAAATTTTTATTTTTTGAAGGAGAACTTATGTTAAGAATATCTTTACTTCTAAAAAAGTATTCTTCCTCAACATCATTTTCAGTGATTATGTAGTACTATAATGTATGGATACACTATAGTTTATTTATGCCACATTTTATAATTCTGTACTATTATGCATGTAGCTCATTTTCAACTTTTTGCTTCTGTAAGTCTAACTGTAATGCATATGTATGTGGTAAATATTTCCCTAACTCCACAATCATTTGCTTATACCTGGTAAGAAAATGCTACATCAAAGGACATGTGTAACTTTATTAAAGCTACGGATTTTTAAGACATTTTTCATGAAGAAGAAAAAAATCTTTATTCTTTCCATTTAGATGTGAGATTTTGGGTTTTGATAGACTTTAAAGTCAAGAGTTTAGTTTATAAAACTAAATTGTGAATAGACAAGACCTTTCAGTTTAACTAGAAAATTGATCTGTTATGAACTGATTAGTAAATAGGTGGCTTCTGTAGCCATGAGATTTTCAGCATAAACAGGATCTATATACTGAATTCCAAATATGCATTGCCTGGCAGGACTGTATGAATATTCACAGTAGTGGGACTGTTATTTAGACCCTTATGTGGAAAGAGTTCTGGTATATATTTAAATATTAAATATTTAAAGAGTTCTGGTGTACATTTAAGTATTATGTATATATTATTTAACTGTACCTTTAATACATGAATTTAAAGAATGAAAAAGCCATTAATCTTGGATTGTTTCAAATTTAAGCCATCCAATTTCAATTGGCCTTTGCTGTGACTTAGAAATCCTTCAGTACATCAATTCTTACCATGCTTCATACAATAATTAATCCAAACCTTCTTCATTTCCCCCAAGCTAATGCAAGAAGACTCTTCAGAACAAGAGGGGGACAAAAGGCATTAATTTCTATGTTTTTCATTGATTGCAAAACAGAAATATTTTGGTTTAATAGAAAATTAGGTATGGTAAGTGATGTTGGAGAGATTGTTGGGCTTTAACTCCTTTCCAAGTAGAGTATTATAACTATAATCATTAAACTTGAAGTGGGAGAGGTTATCTGATCATATTAATCTTGTATCTAACCTTCCCAAAGAGCTGAGATAGTCCTACTTTGGAATACTTCTAGTTAAGCATCTATGTTCTACCCTAGTTACACATTGCATAGTTTAATATAACTTCTTTCCCTAAATCTCTTCAGTTATTTTATACAGTAGACACAAACTGAGAGGGTAGCCTGACACTTGTCATTTCTGCAGCAGCTTGTCTGGGCTGCCTGTCTTCCTGCTTTTGAGGCACCCCCTCATACACACTAGACATTAGTGCAGTTTTAATACCCAAGGGTGGTCACAGAAAAAGTAACTGTAAGCATATGCTGAGGTATATTTCCTGGGAACAACATCAACTGTTAGGGGGAAAAAGGGGATGAAATTCACTAAAATAGGTTAGCCAGTCCCAACAGAAAAGCAAATAATAGTAAGCCCCATAATATATGTCTTATGTGATCCTTCTCCCTTTCATATGTTTGTTCCAAGGATGGGCAAAATACCCAAGCAGGGCCCATGAAAATCTTGAAATGAAAATGGTGGAATATGTTGGGTAGAATTTAAATTTCCCTTCTCTCTTTCTGGGAATATCTGAGGATGTGAATTTAAGGGCTTCTGGCAGCCATGTGTTCTGTCCCTAACCTCTCACTCCACTCCCACCAGTGGAAAAGAACATGGGCAACATACAAGAGAGAACTAGAACAAGAGGTAGTGTGAGGAGCAAGACCAAGGAAGAGAGTGCATGCAAGAAACAGCTGAGCAGACAGACAGACCCATCTGATTCTAGTTATCCCAAAGGCCAGTTTCTTATATTCATACAGAGGTTTTGGCTAATAAATATTCTAAGTTTCTTATTTGTCTATCCTCAGCAAAATCTCTACAGTGAAAAAGGAGAAATGGATTCCTCTTCCCAGAGCTCTTAGTTGAAAGCCAAAAAGAAACACTGATAGAGTTCACATATGCCAGTCTTAAGAAATATTCTAATTTTTGTTTCAGTGATTATGTAAATCTCACTTTAATCTTACTCTCAGATTAATCTATCTCATTATTCATCCTATAATCATTCACTGGTGTTTTCTATATGCAAGGAATGGTAGTAAGTAATGTAAAAGAGTGAATAAAATAGCTCCTCTATCATGACAGCAAATGCTTACACATCAGGGGATTGTTCTAAAAGCTGAATGCTTTACTCCCTTTAATTCTCTCCATTTTATAGATGAGGAGAACAAGACACAGACTGAGTACCTTGTTCACTGTCCACAGCTGGTCACGGAAGGACTTAAGGGTTAGAATCTGAGCTGGGCTACCACTTTTATTTTCTGATTCTAAAAGGCATACATTTATTTAAAGTATATAAGAATACAGATAAGTGTTTAAATCATTTCTAATTCCACCATCTAAATATATCCGTTGATAATATTTATCATTCAATTCCTGGTATAATCTTAGAATTTTAATTTAAATTAAGTAGGATACTAATACAACAAATTCTATTATTACTTCTCTATGAGAATGTCAATTTTAATTTGTTGCAATTTAGATTGAAAGATGTGCATTTCACTATATTATTGGGTTTATTGATTATTTGCATTGAGATTAGTTGATGCAACATCCAGCTGTGTTAACATAATTCCTAGAAACTAAATGTGTGCACTAATTGTACATTTCACAGCTATTACCCCTCATTTACTTCAGTGCATACTGCTGGATACCTATAAGCAGAGTACATAGGCCACTGCTTATTTGAGATGC